CAGGAGCTGACCGTTCCATTATCTCCAGAAAGGATTGGCCTTCCAACTGGCCCACCAACACTACAGATAACACACTGCAGGGCCTGGGGATGGTGTCAGCTCCTCAGGTTAGTGCTTCAACCCTGCTCTGGTGCGATGAGGAGGGTCATCAGGGCCATTTCCAACCGTTTGTGTTGCAGTTGCCAGTGTCTCTATGGGGAAGGGACATCCTCACTCAGATGGATGTCACGCTTACGTCAAACTGCTCCCCCCAGGCTAAGGATATACTCAGGAACCAGGGATATACCCCCGGCAAAGGCTTGGGCAATGCCCTGCAGGGTCGGACATCCCCAATACCAGTAGAAAACAAAAAAGGTAGGCAAGGATTGGGTTTTTCTTAGGGGCCGCTGAAGAAGCTCTCCTACCCACTTCGATCAAAATCACCTGGAAATCAAATGATCCGGTTTGGGTACCTCAGTGGCCCCTGCCTAAGGAGAAGCTATTAGCCTTGTCAGAAATAGTCAGTACACAACTTAGATTAGGACATATTAAGCCGTCAACCTCCCCATGGAACACCCCCATTTTTATAATTAAGAAAAAGTCTGGCAAGTGGAGGCTGCTCCATGATCTAAGGGCGGTCAACGCGCAGATGCAGCCCCTGGGGGCGGTCCAGAGGGGGCTGCCAGCTCTCTCAGCCATCCCTCAGTCCTGGCCAGTTTATGTTATAGACCTTAGAGACTGTTTCTTCTCAATTCCCCTGCACCCAGAGGACACTCATAGGTTCGCCTTTACTTTGCCCACCATTAACCAAGAAAGCCCTGATCTCAGATACGAGTGGGCAACGTTGCCCCAAGGTATGGCCAACAGTCCCACTATGTGTCAGATTTACCTTGATTCCCTACTGGCCCCCCTACGAAAATCCTTTCCCAAGATAAGATGTATGCATTACATGGACGACCTTTTGCTCAGCGGCAGGGACCCAGACATGCTAAATAATATGCTCAGCCAGTTGGTCGAGGCCCTGAGACAAGCTAATCTGCATGTTGCCCCCGACAAGATTCAGGGAGGAGAAATGGTGACCTACTTAGGCGCGAGAATCTCCCCTATGCTAGTCTCTCCGCAGAAGGTCACCATTAGGATGGATGGCGTTAGGACCCTAAATGACATGCAAAAGCTATTGGGAGACATTAATTGGATTAGGCCATATTTACATATACCAAATTCAGATCTCAAACCCCTGTTCGACCTTCTGAAGGGAGACCCAGATATAGCCTCCCACAGGAGGCTCACTCCTGAGGCAAGAGCTGCCTTACAGAGAGTGGAAAAAGCCTTAGGTGGGGCTACCTTACACAGAATTGAACCAGGGCGACCCTTTGATGTCTGTTTGCTACAGACTAGTCTACAGCCTACAGCGGTGATTTGGCAGAAAGGACCACTACTGTGGATACACCCTAAGGTCTCACCTGCAAAAGTCATAGAGCATTACCCGGAGACAGTCGCTTCATTGGCCCTTGAAGCGCATGATAGAGCTGTCCAACATTTTGGCTCAGGACCACAAGCCATCCGAGTACCCTATACCGCCAGCCAGATCAAGACCCTGGCTGCCTGCATAGATACCTGGGCCATTCTGAGATGTGTTTTCCATGGGGATATAAACAATCAATACCCTAAAGACCCTATCTTGTCATTTGTCACTCAGCACCCTATAATTTTTCCAAAGGTTACTGCCTCTGAGCCATTAGTCCTAGCAACTACAATATACACAGATGGCTCCAAGACGGGGATAGGCGCCTATGTGATCCTAGGCAAGCCCCCGGTTACCATACAATTTAAACCAGATCAGCCTCAGGTGGTAGAACTGCAGATCGTTAAAATGATTCTTGAACGGTTCTCAGAAGCCATTAACATTGTCTCCGATTCTAGGTATGTGGTCAATGCTATGCAAGTGCTTGAGACTGCCAGTTTAATTAGATCCACTTCCACAGTGGCTGGACTGTTCCTGTCTATCCAGACATTGCTTCAGAACAGACACCATAAGGTCTTCACCACCCACATAAGAGCACATACATCCCTGCCGGGGCCCATGGCACAGGGGAATGCGGCTGCTGACACTGCCACTCGCCCGTTATGGATTTTTACCTTACTAACACCAATCGAGCGAGCCCGTGCCTTCCATGATAAGTTTCATGTTAATGCCAGGACACTAGCAAACCATTTCCATGTTTCTAGAGCAGATGCACGAGATATCGTGCGACTATGTGACTCCTGTGCCACATACAAACCTGCCATACCGATGGGAGTAAACCCTCGAGGTTTGATCCCTGGTGATGTTTGGCAGATGGACATCACACATATACAGGAGTTTGGGACTCTTAAATATGTTCATGTTTCCACAGACACCTGTTCTCACGTCATATTCGCAACAGCAGAAACAGGTGAAAAAGTGTCTAATGTGATCAATCATTGCCTGGCAGCTTGGGCCGCATGGGGCAAACCAAAAATATTAAAAACTGATAATGGACCAGCCTATATAGGCAAAGCCTTCAATGAGTTCTGCAAAATGATGGAGGTTCAATTAAAACATGGTATCCCATACAATCCCCAAGGTCAAGGAATCATTGAGAGGGCTCATAGAAGCCTCAAAGAAATTTTACAAAAACAAAAAGGGGGAGTAGGCCAAGGCCTGGCCCCAAAGGCACGATTATCCATGGCACTATTCACACACAATTTTTTAAATTTAAATAATGATAATCGCTCCCCAGCTGTGGAGCACTGCAACCCTTCCCCCAACCATAAAGGGTGGGTGAAGTGGAAAGATGTCCTGACAGGACAATGGATGGGCCCGGATCCAGTGGTCAGCTGGAACCGAGGCGCGGTTTGTGTTTTCCCACAGGAACTGGGACGAGAACCACTGTGGATACCGGAGAGACTGACACGGGCAACAAAGCCCTCGACTGAAGATCAGACCTGCCCTACTGGAGATCCATCACAGACCAACCAATAAGATGAATAGAAATAGCGGTAGCCCGAAATGGACAAGAAGATCCTCAGGCATATGCATGGCTTGCTCAATTGGCCCACGACCGAGTCTAGATATGGCGGGCATCCCTCATTCTCCTCCATAAGGTGACAATACACAGCAGGGTAGGTGAGTCAATGACGGGTAAGAGCGTGCCTCCCCAGCACGACTCGACCTAAGCCAGGCCCTACCCCATCCTGCACGTAAGCCGCTGGACTGTTAGATGCTGCCCAGGTCTAAATTTCTCTCCGAGGGGATTTCTTTACGGAGAGGAAATGAGTGCAAGCTTGTGTGCATCCAGGTTCCGTCCAGTTTGTGCCTGGCCCTAGAAAAAGGACGAGGGCCTCAGGGCCTTGGCAGACCATGGCATGGCCAACCAGGGTCTAAGCCAAGGACCTACGGTGGACCTACACATAGGGCATAAGCCTCTGCACCCAGTCCAGGAAGGGCTACGATGCGCACATTCATAAAAAATAAAATAGGGGGAGATGTTGGGAGCCGCGTCTGTGATAGCTCGCCTTGCGTGGCGGAAGTGCGGCCTGTGGTAAAGAGCAAAGCCTGAGGTAGATTACCCCTCCCATCGAATATGTTAGTTTCCTGCTTACCGCGTAAACAACCCGCTCAACAATATAGTCTGCCTGGCAACTGATGATGTTAGCCAATCAGCTTGCCTTGCTTACTTTAACATGATTGGACACTGTACCCGTATATATACCGGTGCCACCCCTGGGCGGAAGAAGAAGCCAGGTAGAAGCCCAGAAGTAAAAGCCCAAAAGGAGCCGCGGAGAGCGGACTGGTAGAGGCTTTGGGGCAGACTGAAGCACAAAAGGAGCCGCGGGGAGCGGACCAGAGGAGGCTTCAGCTGGGAGAACCCAGGGCAGGCTGTACGGAGAAGGAAAATAAAAAGAAAAGGTTGTCCACTACCAGACTTTGTCGTGTGTCCTTCCTGCCGGCCGGGAGCGGACATCGACAAGTAAAAACTAAGAAGTTGGAGGAACTGTTTTATAACTAGAAGAGTGCTATAATTCCATTTTAGCAAGCTGCACGTGCTTGTGTCTTGACCATGGGAGAAGGACTCAATGCCTTCAAGTGACAGTGGGCTCACATGGGAAATGGGTAAAGCCAGTGACTTCATGTTCTTGGTTTGATTGGTGAGAGAAGGGAGTGTGTGTCACGCAGACCTGCTTTGTCTGCTGGGCTGAGAGTTAACTAGGAAACCTTTTGCTCTAGTTTTATTGCCTGCAGTCTAATCCATGTTTTCTTCTCATCCCTGTGTGAATGAATGTCAGGGACGTAGATGGAGGCTGGTGTAGATTCCCAACAGCTGATCCTCAGAGTCAAGCTCGTTACCTCTCCTGTGCTCTTAGTCCACAGCCTGTTCTGCCCTGGCCAATTAGCTGCAAAACAGCGTCTCTATCACAACATACTCCAGCCCTCCTTGTAATGACTCTGTTTGTTACCAGCGAACAATCCATCCCTTATTTTTTGAAGCAAAGCCTTGAGCCCTTTATCTGTCAAACTCATTGCAGGGAAGTAGGTGAAGAAGCTTTGTTTTTGGTGCTGGGCATTGTGGAAGGCCTCATGTCCAAGGAGTTTTGGTGGCATGAAAGAGTGTTAAAATCAGAGGCCTGACAGCACAATGGGGTGCACACCCTAACATTGCTTTGAAGATTCAGGGTCTTGGGGTGCCCTCAGCTCAAACTTGCTAATGAATCCATCCTCTCTCATGCTGGCAGCAGAAATTGAATGATGCAGCTGGAGGCCACACCTTGAGTGTTGATTTCTTGAATTTGGACTCCTCTTAAATCCTTAATGCTAATATTTTGCCTCTTTTTCTTAATAGAACAAATGCTGGTTCATTAAGTGAGACAGAAAACATAGTTCTGGTTATTTCAAATCTGAAGAATTGCATTTGAGGGGTGGTTGGCATTTACACTGAAAACTGATACGTGGGTGCACTCCCACGCCCATGGTTCAACCGCATATTTTAACGGCACCCCCTGAGGATTCAGAGCAAAGTTTTCCTCACCTGCAAGTCACTCCTTAGTGCAGAGAAGCCCTTGCTGCCAGGTCTTATTTACTGCATAACATGCAAGAGAAGCTTTAAAAAATAATACTGTAACCCAGGCTCTGTCTCAGACACACAGAACGAGAGATTCCAGACGTAGAACCTTGAAATCTGTAGCAGCAACAACAAAAGTCTCCAGGTGAGTTCGATGCACAAGGTCCGTAGATTCGCACTGATGTACTAGCAGAGCGGAAGTGGGGAGTGTGAGTCTCTCTGTCTCTTTCTCTGCCCCCAGGTGAGCTTCTGATGGTCCTACAGGTGTAATCAGGGATTCCGCTGAGGGCAGTATTTTTTCCTCTCTAGTTATGTCTCGGATGTGTTGTAATTCGACAGAAAGCTCTGTTTGAAATATTGGGAGGGAAGGTAGCAGGTAACACTGGTCACTCACCAAACATTCTTTTCCTCCCCAGGGTACGCTGCTGAGAAAAGACTAAAAATAGAGTGTGTACGTGTGTGTATTTGTGTGCGTGTGTGGTGTGTGCTGTGTTTTTTCCTGGGATAATAGCAGCCTGGATGAGAAGCCCTTTCATTAGGATTATAGCAGAAGGACCTATAAAAACATCCTTAGATAAACTGCTGTTGTGTAAGCTTCTCGGTTTGAATAATTCAGCTGTGGTTACTATGGAACCTCGAGCCTTGTTCACTTGGCAGAGGAAAATTCTAATGGTCCCCCAGTGTCCCCACACTGCAGAAGAGCTCATTAAAGGAAAAGAACTGCCCTCCGTTTGAAGACACACAGCCAAGCACAGAATGTCCACATCCGGATTTCAGGGGCACCTTCTGCGTAGGGGAGCTTGCGCTTTGAGATGGGGGTGTTCTTTGAAGTGTTAAGGTGCCTCTTTGCTGGAAATGTGCTTAGGTCATCTCAGTGCCAGGAATTTGACATTTTGGAATGAAAAGCCCAGGTTAGGATGTGTCTATGTGTGTGTGTTGAGTGAAATTATATATATTTCCCATTTATTGAACATTATTTTGGCCTTATACTGCTAGGATTTATGTCTATACAACCAGGGGCTTCTAAGGGAGGATCATTCCATTTTATAAAAGCAGAAACTGAGATTTTGGGCAGTCACATACGCCCCGAGGTGAGGAAACGAGCTGTACCTAAGCCTGAACCTAGCTCTCACCCTGGACTAAGAGAGGATGCATCCCGTGGGCTTTGTGTGGATTGCTGTTACCAAGTATTCTCCAGGGGTTTCCTAACTTTCCTTTCAGCTGCAGCACGTCCCTTCCCCAGGTACTGGTGCCAGAAATTTCTACCCCACTAACTGACCACAGCTCTGCTCTCTTTTTGGGAGGGCTTATGAGGTTCTGGAATATTACAAAGCGAGTGGACCTGTGCCCCACGTGGGCAAGGTGAGTGGGAGAGAGTGATCAGCCCTGATGTGTGGATGGGCTGATGCCGACTGGAGGCAGACCATGGCCAGGCCTCGGGAGGGCAAAGTGAGGGCTCTCTGTCAAAGTTAGTGTTGGCTGCGTCTGATTGATGAGAAATAGAGACAATGTGAGTTGAATTTTTCAGGGTTACAAAGGAAATTCATGAAAGTTAATTCAGCCATTGACACAGAGTTCCTTTTTTATTTTTTTGGACTCATTTGTAAAAGCAGAGTACTTTATTGACTGAGGGTATTAGCAGGGTCTGGGGTTTTATAGGCTCTTGCCAGGGATTCTTTCCAGGTTCTTGGTGTCCCTGAACAAAGTGCTGGACAAGATATGTGAAAAGGATAGCAAAGGTTTCCATATATGAAAGCTAGAGAAAGAAGTCTGCTCTGCAGACAGGGTAGGACACTGAGGAAGCTCACGGTGGCCACAAACTTCATGGCACTGTCTTCCATACCCCCATTCTTCTGGCTGTGCCAGGTCGAGGCTGTCCTCACAAAAACCTGCTTGATTTCACACCAGAAAAATTAAAGTCAGCACTTTCAATTGGTACCAAGGCTTGGAAATTGTTTTCCACATGTGTCCTTGATCTCTGTGATTAACAGGACACACCCACCTGTCCAGTCAGCCGGCCGTGCCCTAATCTCCTGCCTCGAGGGAACTTAACAGATAACCTAGGTCAGCTTTGTTTCACATGGGGCAAAACTAAGGGTACAGAAACGAATAGGCTGGAGGTATCCATATAAAGATGGAAGGAGAAGGGAAAGCATAGAACCCCAGTCTCCCAAGAGGTTGGGGAGCCCAGGCTCCCTGTGCCCCATCCGATCCCTGTCTGTCAGGGGTCAGTTCACTTCTGCCATCTTCTTGGACAGAGAAGAGAGATTTGGGCATAGAGAGGCAGGCCTCAGAAAAGAGCAGATAACAGGTGGGAGAGTAGATGAAGCTTAAAATAAAAGAGCACAGCACAGGAATCCAGCTGGCAGCAAACTGTACCAGTTACAGTGGTGTCCAGAGTCGCCTCAGGGTCTGAGAGTGACATCCTTCATTTCAAGCCTCCAGGAGGTTCTGAAGTTTCCGTTAATGAAGCCAATTGCATTTCTCCGAAGAAACCTCGCGGTGTTATTACATTTTTTCCCTCTATGTTTTATTGCCTCAACTTTCACCTTTCATATGCAAAAGCAGCTGTTTAAAAGCCTGGGAGGTTCTCTGCAAATTACTTTTGCATCTGTGAGCTGCTTTTAAATTTGATCCCCAGCCTCAGCCCTGACAAGACTTTTTCCTCCAGAACAGGACAGGCAGCGTTTCCCCACCAGAAGGCGCTGGCTGGGTCCTTGTCACTGAGGTGACCGCTGTCCTCAAAGCAAGTTGCAGTTTTCAAGGGAAAAAGGACAAGGCAGAGAATGAACAGGTGATGATTGATTTTTGCCTGTGATGGTCAGAGATGCTCCCGGAAGAAGCTAATTCTCCAGTTTTGGTGTGTGTGAAATTGCTTAGAGAGTGTTAAACATGTGTCTGCCTAGGGCCCACTGTCCAACCTGAAGTTTTTGATGGAGAAAGCCTGGACTTAGAAATCTGCTTGCTTACAAGGACTCCAGGTGATTTGACTGCAAGGAATCCCTGTCCTAAATTTTGAGAAATCTTCATCTAGAGGATTCAAAGTGTGGTCCCAGCATCTGTATGGGCAACACAGGGGACTGACCTCCCAGATAGAACCCCCACTGTGGCAAGATTCTCAGGAGAGAAACTCATGTACAGTAGGACTTGAGAAGCAGTGGTTTAGAGGGTACACCTACTCATTAGGATCACTGTGACAAAATACCACATATGTGCGGCCACAATGACAGAAAAATGTTTTCTAACAGTTCTGCAGCTAGAAGTCCAAGAGCAAGGTGTCCTCGGGGTTGGTTTCTCCTGAGGGCTCTGTAGCCTGCAGACAGCTGTTCACTTTGTCTGCATGTGGTTTTCCTTCTGTTATGACGTCATTGTTCCTCTCATAAGGGCACTGATCAGATTGGATTAGGGTCTACCCTTATGGCCCCATTTTAATTTAATCACCTCTTAAACCTTTTATCTCCAAATGCAGTTACATCTTGACGTTCTAAGGAGGAGAGCTTCAGTGTACCTATTTTTGAGGGACATCACTCAAGAAGAAAAAGACTGTCTGTCCCTTGTGCCTATATGCATTTTTGTCATCAGGAAGAGCCCTGAGACGTTTGGAAACTTAGATCCTGTGAGCCTGGACCCCCTACAAGCTCTCCTTATCCTTTGTCCCCCATCTTGGTGAATAGTGCTATCTTTGACCTATTGCGCCAAACACGGATAATCCCCCAGGATCTAGTCACCCTCTGCCTTGCCGCCCACATTTAGTGACCTCACTCTCCCGTATTTACCCCTTCTTGAGTTCCAGAACAGAAATTCTGATCTCTGCTATCCTTCACCTCACCTTCTCATCCCCCCACCACTAAGCACAACCCCCCTCACCAACCGCACAGCAAAGAGCTTGTTTCTTAATCTTATCTTGGCCTCTAGTCTTATTTTCCAAGTCATGACCTTCATCTACAGTAGAGAAATGTTTGGAGAAGCTAAAAAATCATGTCGTTCTCCTGCTTAAAAATGTTCATAGCAGGGCTGGGGATTTAGCTCAGCAGCATAAGCACCTGCTTGGTGTGATGTCATGAGTTTGATTCCTGGTACCAAAAAATAAAAATGGCTGACATTGCCTTGAGAAGAGGATGCAGTCTGTCTTAGGGCTGAAGATGTGGATCGTGGTAGAGTATTTGCTGAGAATGCATGAAGCACTGGGCTTGACCCCAGGCACCCTTCCCCGTCACAGGCACGGGCACCTACACTCTGTCATCTCAATACCACCATCACCATCATCTTCATCCTCCCAGCGGTTTACAGGGCCATCTGCTGACCTCGAGGTCTTCCTCTCTCTGCTCTGTGCCCCCTGGCATATTTCCCATCATTCTCTTCTCTGCCCATGCTGTGTTTCCTTCTCCCGAAGGTCTTACTTACCTCTGCCATCTCATGCACGGTAGGTAGGTGGCTCTCTTTGGGAGTCATAGTGCCCATCATCCAATACATTTCTCCCGTCTCTTTATTTTCTTCAGTGGACTGAAATCTCCATGGGGGTCGGGATTATGCTTCGTGTACATCTGTGCTTTGGACACCTGTGAAGTGTCTGAGACAGCTGCGAGCTCACATGTCCTTCTCTGATCCTTTAGCAGGGGTCATCGCTGCTATGAAGCCTGGAAGCTTGGGGGATGCAGAACCTGAATATATGTACTAGGTGTGACTAAAAAAATACAATTAGTATTTAAATTAGAAATTTCTCATGGTAAAAGGCACATGACCACTAATCACACTGAAAATACTCCTCTCTTTTGGTGTACTAATCCTATCATTGTTGTTGCTTTCTGAAGCAGCTCTGGAAGTGCTCTTTCTTGAGTCTCTTTCCTGGTGCTATTTTGGCTACCTCTGTGCCATGAAGGGAGTCATAGCTTTTATCTGTCCTGGTCACCGTGCCTTTGGGGGAGAGCCAGGAGTTGTGGGATGCAGACCTGGGGGGTGAGGCGGATGATGACACACTATGGTGTTTTAGGAGCCTGTCTTTCTGCAGGATGGCACTCAGCAGCAGCACTGACTTTTTTTGTCACACTTTATAAGGGTGCCCATGAAAGAGGACTCACAGGGCTGCTTCAGACAGTGGTGAGGACAATGGGGTAAATGTACTGCAACTGGAGCCGGGTGTGGTGG